ACATTAGGTCGTGCGTGCCTTGATTAGATCTATTGTTCATAGAGGGTCATGTGCCCCATCACCTGACTTATTGTTTTGGATGCTGTGGTTCTTAGGTGTTTTGTTATGTGTATGTAGTGAATGTAGGCGGGGTTCAACGTCCCCGTGTTTTTGTCCCTCTTTCCCTCTTTGTGTTGGTATCATTGGGGCCCTGATTCACACCTTTTGCTCACAGGGGGCGGAGTCATACTTGCAATAACAGCATTGTAGGAGGAGGACAACTGGACACGAAGGCCTCCACCTCTATTTAATGGTGGACGGTTTTTCTTCACAAAGATGGCTTCCTTTACTCCAACACGATACCAACACAAAGAGGGAAAGAGGGATAAAAACAAGGGGAAGTTGAACCCCCGCTTGCATTCACTACATTCACATAACACAACACGGGTCAGGTGATGGGGCACATGACCCTCTATGAACAATAGAACTAATCAAGCCTGTTGTTAGTCGATGGCCCTCTTTTGCATGTGACTAACCTGTTTGTCCACGTGGAGGCAGTGCTTATAAGACTGATTTCACCTGAAACTCATCAGACTGACRAAGTCTCTTGGAGGAGAGACGAAACGTTTCACTAAAGGAGAACCCATCCAGAGGACCTACTTATTTTTTCTTTTTGAAAACTACTTAAAGTTTAAAGGTAAAAGTAATGGAATGGAAAAAAGGTATTAGTACAAAAGTAAAGTATAAATAACCAAAACTTCTACTGAAGTAAAGTATTCGTACTTTATTTGACACGTCTTGATCTCACACAATCTGTCAGTGTTTGGAGTTTGTGTTGTGAATGACTAACAGCTATTACGACACACAATTTGTGCAGTGATTCAACAAATATTTACTAATGACACACCCTCACAAACACATACTGGCAAAAACATTGTGTGTCTTTATGAGGCTGACTTCCTGTTCCAGATAGAATTTGACCAACCAGTTTGTCTTGATTGCAGTCATATGGAMAACATCACCTGTCAGCTGGATGCTGATGGAGCTGGAGTTCACTGTCAGGAAGATAACTGCCCTTACAAAGAGGAACGATATCCCATCTCTCTGACGGTTTACATACACAGCTACTCCCGCCTGGAGGCCTACACCAAGTCCTTCTACCTGAGAGAGATCGGTACGTTTCAATCAAATGTTGTATATTTTTAATTGATGCAGATATTGTTGCTTTTGTCGACATGATCTGTTCTCATGGACCAATGCTAATTGTCAACTTCTGTTTTGAATCTAGTGAGACCAGCCAGACTCCCTAACYTACATGTCGGGGATGGCCAAGTGTTCAGCTGGGACTATCCTGACTCCTGGGAGAAGCCCTGCACCTACTTTGGCCTCCAATTCCAGGTCAAGCTTGTCCACCATGGACACTTCTGTGACAGTGAGAGGCTCATAATGGTGAGGAGAAGTCTGACGGCAAAAGCTGGCTTTAGTTTTTTTAGCTCGATTTCTCTGTCCTAAACAAATTTATCTTTTGCAGAGTAACATGACCGAAGAGACAAAATACGTGGTCAATATCAAGTCCAAGAAGTACATTTTCTGTGTGCGAGCTCAGGACAAGTACACCCTGGGGCCATGGAGCCACTGGAGTCAGTGTGTGTAAGTATTTTACTTCAGAAGTTCTGATTGGTATTATTTTCCTGAATAACACAATAATCATGTATTTTGTTGTTTTTTTGCAGAGTGAACAAAAATAACATGAATGGTTGCTAATTTCTGTTTCTGCTCAGTTGTCCTGAGAGAACGAAAGGACTCCCGTTCCTTTACATGTGATGTTTTTTTCTTTTCTTTTAAGTTTCCACATTTTTTAATGTTTTGTTCAAAGAGAAGCAGGAGTATACAAGTACAGTATTTATTAAGCTTCCACTGTTCAGTCATTTAGGTTTTGTAAATGACTAAAATGAATAGGTTTTCTCAAGTTGTCTTAACTTATTTGTAACTAACTTTAAAAGTTTTGTCTTTTTATACATTTTAATATTCCATAATAAAAATAAAAGCATTTAAAAAAACAATAAAATGTTAGTGGGATATTTTTAAACAAGAAAGTAAGCTAAATAATGAAAATTGGCACTTCATGTACATCCAAAGA